ACACACACACACACACACACACACACACACACACACACAAACAATGTAGCTTAAATGTCTTTCTACACGTAACAAAACATCTTGCAGTTTGCATGATATAGTCACTAATTGTAAGTACTGAGCATTAAGTATTAAAATTATCAAGTGTAGTTATTAAGTATTATGCAGCCCTTTGTCACGACCCTTCGTCGATGACAATTCGCACTTGTTCAGTTCACAGGGGGGAACGATAAGTACCATAATTTAATTCTCATAGGGAACAATAATGTAGTTATAAGCATCACGAACATTCTTGTTACGGACATTATTAATGTCTATGGTATTCATTACGAAGGGGATTAAGTTCACAAAGTTTTTACACATTCTATAGCACACGTTTACAAGTGATATGATCACATCACGCATATAATAAGAAGAAAAATTAATTCCGTTGTATCTGTCGGTATGGATATTTCGAAGTATTCGGAAAAAGTGCTCATTCGTTTTCATATCTTATAATTAATGTAGCAATAGAAACATTTTTATTTAACATAATGTGCATAATGTTATTAACAATAAAAAATATGATGATAGTTACAAAATGTCTTCAAATAAATCATAAATCATAAATCTTATATAAATAAAAAAAGCAAACACTGTTAATAAAAAAAGATAAGTTATATTTTTTATACATTTAAAATACTAAGAAAACATTATTAATATTATCTTCTAATGTTTAAACAGATTACAAATGGGTTATTACATCAAATCGATCTTGCTTGGAATTTGGCCAAAATCTGACAAAAACCCACGAAGAAAATTGATGATAAATGTACGCGTGATTATTACATTAAATATAATTATTTGGAGCTGCGCTATTCCAACTTTCCATTCTCTATCAGAATATGGGACAATATTATATCTATGATTGATAATTTACAATATAGTTTACCGCTTACAATAGCAATAATGAAAATCATTCTTATGTGGCAGAATAAAGAAGGTAATATAAAATTGGCTTATTACAATGTCATAGGTAAATTCAAAAAAAAAAACATACGAAGAACAGTCGATTTTATTTATTCAAATCTTTTTCTCAATTTTGCCATAAATAAATTAACTAATAAAACAGAATTAACCTTTAACTGTTTTAACCGAACGTTAATGGACGCACGCAGCATTGATATATACATAGAAAAAAATAAGCATAAATAATATCCATTATTAATATTCTTTATTGATTTTCTCTTATAGATCTATTAAAATTATTGACAATATATTTAATTTGATGCTGCTTAGTTTGTTTATTTTGGCATACTTTTCGCTCTGTTCGGATTTTTATTTATTATTGCAAGTATTTTTTAGCTCGTATTTATATATTTTTCCATCTGTATACAGGGTATCCCAGACCTAATGGGACTGATTTCGTGAGTAGATAGAAAATTGCAAAATGATAGAGGACTTTTCGACTCAGTTTAGTCCGCTCTATCTATACACGAAATTAGTCCCATTAGGTCTGGGACACCCTGTATAATATACGATAGGATCTCCAAAATTTAAAAATAAAATTATCATATTTTATTATATTATTTATTATATTTCTAAACGATAATAATCATTTAACTAAAATTAATTGTTCAAGTAATAACACAAGATCGTAATCTCTCAATTTTTCGACTCATTTATATCCTGACAGCTTTCATCAATGCTTTTACACATATGTGTCTTCATTGTGCAATAGGTGAAATTTTAGTTATTCAAGTAAGTACTAATAGCGTTATGGCTTTTCACATGCAACATTACAGCAGAATATGGCATATCTAATTATAATATTTATTATGTTATTTATTTCAATACTTGATTGAAATTAAATTTATTGTTACATTTGTAACTTATTATAATTGTTTTTATTATAATTAATCAAGTGATGGAATTTCTGAAGCTACTTATCGATTCAAATGGTATAATTTAAAACCGAAGCGGGCGAAAAATTTGTTAATTATAATGATGCTAGTCAATAGACCACTATATCTTACTGCAGGAAAATTCTTTTCTATGACGATGTCTACGTTTTGTAATGTAATATTTATTATTATCATAAATTAATTTGATTATTTTGCAATATAAATTATACAATAAAAAATATTTTCTATCATTAGTATTTTATTATAAAATCGAATATTATATACTTTTTCTTATAACGTTTAAAATACGAAATTTAAAATACATAGATTTAAAATTGTAACTAAATAAAAAATTCTTTTGTAATAATATGAAATGTAAACAAAGATTTTTTTTAAACACGTAATTTAATTGTATAATTTTAAATTAAAATGTAATTCTTATGAATGAAATAATATTAATGAATCTATACGTACTATATTACTGATATAATATTATATAATAAATAATTATACGTACTATAATTATACGTACATAATTATACATACTATACGTACTATATTACTGATATAATATTATTATATTTCAGTTATTAAAAACTTCGGACGGATACATATCAGTTTTATTGGCGTATCGCAATTAAATTAAAAACCTTTAGTTAAACAAATAAAATAATTGTGGCAATATTATTATTATCAAAATAAGTTGCATAGTCAATGAATTTTCATTATAATTATGTTTTTCATAATAACGATATAAATTTATTATAAATCAATTCTACATAGATATTTTTCCATATGACTTTTGTCCGCCTATATTTCCTTCTTGATAAGAATATGTTAAAATAATAATTTTAACTTAAATTTATGGCTGTCAGTTCTAACAAATTACAGTTCTACAAATTATAAATTTTCATTTGTATATAAATTACAAAATAAATACGTGCAATGTTTAGAGTATAAAAAAAAATATTTATGTGTATGCCTACGAATCACCTTAAACATGAAAATAATTTAATATAAAGTTAATTTATATTATGTAAAGCTTTATATTAAATTATATTAAATGTTAGCTTTATATTAAATTTATATTTATATTAAATTATATTATTATATTAAATAATTTAATTTAAAACTTAAATAAAATCTTTTGCAATATGTTTAATACGCATGTTTAATAATTCATGTGTTTAAAAAGAAAAATAGATGCAATTATTTCTAGTAGTAAGTATATGAACTGTCAATTATATTCATTATCTATATGTTACACATATGTCTATAAACACACATGTACGACTGCTTTGCATGTAAAGTATTGTCTATAGCTGTAATAAAAAGAGGACATAAAATCGAGTTAAATAGTTTAAATTTCATCTTATTACATCTATTAAAAAAACTTTCAAGTTACATTTGTATCTCTCTATTTTGACTAAGTACTAAATCAATAATCAGTCTTAAAAATTTTCTGACTTTTGCATAATAAAAAGAGAAATTATTTTTTTTAAATTCATTCCATGTAAAAAATATATAAATTTAAAATTTATTAATTTTGAAAAATATGTTTTCTTGTTAATAGTTCTTTAATATACATATATGATGTAATAATAAATTCTCTTAATTATAATAATATTTACGGCTCTGGATGACGTATGTCTTTTTATTCGCGTTCAAATTACCGGATAACTTCATATTTCATAACAAGAGGGTGAACCCTAACTGTGGCTATAAACATCACCGTAATGTCTCGCGTATTGCATTATTAATATGCGATGTATACACCTGTAGAGCATGCAGCTTAACATGTCTAATCATATCCCAATGATATATCATTTTAAAAATCATGAGGATATGAAACGAGGGAAATTCAGTCTTCAGTTCTTCAATTCTCAGAATTCAATTTTCAGTCTTCTTTCGAAGATACCAGCATGGATACTTCAAAGTATTCGACGTATTATACAGGTTTTCACACTTCCTCAATTAGATCGTAGCGTTTATTTTATATATACGGTAAATAGTAAGATATTTTGAATTACT